CCCCAAAACCCCAAAACCCCAAAACCCCTGACTTAGGTTGCCAAATTGAAAAGAGTTTAATCAATAATTTAAGTGACTATTTTAGCTATCTTTTTAATTTTGTCCTCTGAAGTCTCAATAAAAGTCTTACTGCCGAACATATCTAGTAGTAACAGTGGCAGTAATTCTGCATAACATTCTGGATTAACCTAGTAATAATAGTTTTAGAATTATGCAGCGTTAAATGTTGCTCTGTTGGGACAGGAGTGTTCAAAGCCTGAATGTTCTCCATATGAATGTCTCTCTCCTTCCTTTCATTCTGTATCTGAATTGGACTATCCTTCGGCACAAACTTTCCTTTATCAGCTGAGTAAAGTTTTAAGTTAGGAAGAGGAGCTTGCTTAATTGAACTTGTTCATAAAACATTCCCTGTTGAGCTCTCTTTAGTCAGTTCCAAAACTCCATCTTTATCTAGTGGAAGAACCATGATACGAGCAGGCTGCAGAGGAAGTATGGTCTTGGAATTATTTCAGGTTTTTACCATCATACAAGGAACTTTTGACTCAATATTATTACCCTGAACAGCCAGCTTATTATTATCTAATATAATTTTCAGTGGATGCTGACTACTCTCGACGGTCCTCTGCTTCTCTTGGTCTTTCTTTCATTTTATAATTCTCTTCTTTAAACCACAATCTTCTTTGGTATTCTCAGCAAGACATGCTTGTCTTTTCTCTGAATGCTTTAGTCTCTTCCTAGTTCTATTTTTGTCTGTTTGGGAGTGATCAGACTTTGCATAGCTCCTTTCAGCTTTAGATTGGAAGAACTCGTAAGAACTGGAGTTATCTCGATACTTCCTCAGGCCCTTGAGATCTCTTTTAGTTACAGTTTGTGTGGGGTTCTTCTCTTTGGTTATTTTGAAGCTCATTTTCAGTAGTAAATGGGTTAGGACCATTAACCTGTGATAGCTTCTTCAAGTCAGGGTTAATTTCTTGGTGTTTAACTTCATCTCGCTGATACTCTTGTAGAGACTGAGTAAATTCTGAGTTGTCAAACTTGTAGAATGGCGACTGGTCTCACATTCCTTGCTGAATTAGCTTCACCGGATCATCTGAGTTGAAGGTCTTCTTAATTACAGCAAAATATTTCTGAGCATGAGACCTGATTTGGATGGAACTCCTTGTGGGAATCTAAAAGTTAGCCAAATAGTCACCATTTGATCAATTTTATCCCAGTCTTTGCCATATGCTTTGAGGCCTGAAAGTAAGATAAAATATACTGTTAATAAATTGTAAGTGTTCTTCATGTGTCCATTTATCTCTTGACCTGTTTCTTTTAGTCTGAATATTGGCAGCTCACTATGAGAATGATTCATATACCAATAAAAGTAGAGAATGTGCTCAAAAAGAGAGTTGAGAAAAGACTCTTACAGTCTGAAGCAGCTGATTATTTACTCACTGAGAATTTTCTTTCAAATTAGTTTTACTCTTTCTCATTCTAAACTTGAGGTTATTGCTTATGAAAAATTATAGGTTTACAGATTTCCTAAATTTAAATTTCCATCATAGAAATCGGATGGTCTCACGAAATAATTAATCAAAGCACCATTAAGGCTAAGAAACTAAGTTAACGCAACAAATGAGCTTGTGGGTAAATAATCGAGAGAAGTAAGTTTGCCATAAGTTCTTAATAATTAAAGAGATGAAGGAGTTTTTATTATGGCAAATTCATCCATCCACTTGTCATTATACCAAAATGGCAAGCATCGCCAATGCAATAAACTTGTGATATTTTACGTACCCAAGACCTCTTGAAGTCAATTAGAGGCACTTCAGCACTTGGTTTATAATTTATCTTTATAAGAGGACAAATTTATCTTGTTTTAAGAAAGTTCTGGAAGCCTGATAAATATCAAATGAATGGCAAGCTTGCTGGCAAATAATCAACTCGATCTTATGACTAAGAAGACTGTCTCAATGGATACAATAGAGTTCATATTGGGACGAAATCTGGAGTTTCATGTCTTACCATAGCACCTCTAATTTGATTAAAATTAAAGATGGCTTCTACAAGTCATATTTTTAGACAAAGTTTGAGAAATTAACAAAAAGAGAAAGCTTGTAAAAATTATATGGATACCTATAGCAACCAGTCCATCACAAGTAAGTTCAGATTTACGATTATAAAAACAAGGCTCCAGCCCTTTCAAATGGCTTTAAATAATAAATAAGTTCTGATTCTTCAAAAGAAAAATGGGGGAATGATTGCTCTAAATTTAATTCTCAATTCCTCGCTGTAGATGAAGGAGCTAGATAGTTTACTCCTTTCATTTCAAAGATATATCTGTTATAATCAGGTTGAGCAGTGACATCTACTATTAAATTTTCAGCCAAAAAGATGCTGATGTAGCTCAAGCTGAAATTAAAACTCAAACAAAATAAGCTATTAAGCATTATGACAAGTTAATGAAGATTTCAAGTTTCAAAGGTGCCTCTATTTAATTAAAATAACACTCTAAATCCAAATAGCGGTCCTACTCTATCTATCAGTCCTCGCTTGTCTAAAATTTCAGCCAAAAACTACGCTTCGGCTCCAAAAGTCTTTATGCAGCAACTAAGCCTTCAGTGATTCCACTAAAAATGGCATCTGAACTCTCTTATCATATGTTTTTTTAAGTCTTGCTGACTCATTCAGCTAACCCAATCTATTCTCCGGCCCAAGTGTAGCCTTATCCTTAAAGCTAATGCTGGACGGCTGTGAATCCCTCTTACTTTTGCTCGTGGCGAATTCTCAATATATTTAATATGGAAGGGGTTTTGGGGTTTTGGGGTTTTGGGGTTTTGGGGTTTTGGGG